GGGTTGGTGGGGGTCACTCTCCCCTGTGCTGGGCCAGCGGAGGAGGGAACCCCCTTTTTTCAACAGAATTGTGCTTCCCCTGAGTGCGGGGGTGCTGTGGGAGGGGAGGGGGTTGAGGTCTTGAAGCGTCCGGGAGGTAGGCACGAGCTTGAATTTTTTAAAGCCTAAAAAGTGACAAAATAAAGAATAACTGTATTTGTTGTGACTCCCTCTAATGCACACTTACAAAATACTGATATTATTAAGAGAAATTACAAAGCTGGCGGTGATGCTGTTTTAGCTACCAGGGTGTGTAATTGTTGAGCAGAGAGGTAGCTGACAAGGCACTTAAAATAGTGGTAGGCAGGTGTAGATTATCTTGAAACTGGTAGTTCAGTCAATGGGTACTTTTAAAAATAAACATTAACACTGGAGATGGCATTTTCTCAGATGTGGACAGCAGTGGCCCACATTCATTGTACCAGCATGATGGACCATCAACTACCACTGTCAAAGAAATTATGAAATTATTGTTAAAAACTCTAAAAAAATGTATAAACAATGACAATAGTTATTTGGGAGAAATTTGTTTTGCTCTACTTGTAAATTTAGGTTACGAAGGTCCTTGATTCTCTATTTTATCTATTTTCAGCCTCTCTTCACCCAGTACTCATGACAGCTGTGATGGGGATGTCTGGCAAACATCAACACGGGGCAGTACAAGACATGAGGTGTATCCTTGTGTTGGCGATGGACACCAATGTAGGTTAATTTTAGTGGTAGATAAGATGCCCAAGGACTGCTGAGCTGTGGAAACAAAGCTGTGATTTTTCTTGGTGTGTTTTCTCACATCATGCATCCCTGTGCATGGAGTTTTTCTGCCCGTAGTGGAAATGGCTAACAAAGACAAAGGAGAATCCTGGAAGAATCTCAACGTGTACAAACATCACATGGTGGCCTTAATGCAGCTGCTGAAGCAACCTACCAAAGCAACTGCTGAATTATTTTTGCCTTTGATGAATAAAGATAAAAGCAGATTCCTTCTAGGTGTCCTCAAGTATGTGAACAGCCAAAGAACAAAGGTAGAATTCTTGCTTATATCTACAAGTGCTGGAAACTTCATGGTACATTTAATAACGCTCATAAGTGAATTGGTGTCTATCTAGTTTTTTCTCATTTGGCTAGAAGTTGTATCTGCTGTTAGGTTGGAATTGGCTTTTGGCAGTGTATTTTTTATTATGACAGATTATTTTTTCTTTAATATTGAGTCAATCTGAATATAGAATCAGAAAAGCTAATATCTGGGCATGTCTCAATATATGTATATATTTTCCAGTATCCAACATATTTTCTGTAACTTAATATTTTTACAGAAGCAAAGTCAAGAATTACCCACTTTTGAGAAAAAAATAAAAAGGGAAGTGCAGTAGATTTGGTAACTCCAAGATGAAAGCATCAGCAAGTTCTGTATCTTTCGGTTTGCATCTGGACTGCAGTAAAACTAGTAATCTCCTGACAAAGTAATTTTCTTGGAAATTTCCATCACAGATTTGGTTTTGGAGGAAGATATTACAATTTTCTGGGCCCAAACTCTGAAGTGATGATTATCTCATATAAACAGCTTTTACAGTCACATTATTAACTTGCCAAATCAAATATATAATGACAACAGAAGGACAGAAGTATTTCCTGTGCTTACTATTTACTCATATGCTACTCCACTGATAAATAATAAAGGCAGCTCTGAGAAGTATTATCTCTCATCTTAGGTAAAAACCACAAAAATCAGGTCAGCAGAATGCATTGTTATAGAAACGGCAACAAAGTATGTTCCAGCATATGTGAAATCTTGTCAGTCAGAATCAAGTCAATGAATTTCCTCTGTCAGTTACTGGTTTTCTTTAGTATCAAATAAATCATGAGGAAAATAATAATACCATGCTACTGGCTGAACTCTAATTTTGTCTATTGCTGCGTTACATTTGGTGTCACTTGGTTAAGATTTAGATATCGGTTATACCAAAATGTAATTTCTTTGCATGTCATCGCATTAATAATATAATGTGATAAAATGTCATTAGCCACTCTAAGATAATTAAGTGCAAAGGTTATAAAAGAAAATCAATCAGGGACTAAAACTGGTTTTTTCTGGTAAATCACACATTTAAAATCTGACAATGTAAGTATGAATAATGTATGGAAAACATTAAATCATGAAGGATAAAAGTAAAATGCTTTTTAAAAAAGCACCAAACCCCCCAAATAAGCCCCTAAGTGCCTGGCAATAATATGTGAAATTAAAAATGGCATCGTCATCACTGACATATGGAGAATGGAAGTCTCATGAAGACAGTGGTAAAACTACATTAGAGATTTTAGGAGTTACCAACAATAATTTTCCAGGATGAAGTAGGTGGCATACACACAGACCTGACTGTGACGGGATGGGCTGGAATGATCACAAGGCTGGAAGCTTGCATGAAGATCAGTGCTCACAACCAATTACATCAAATAAGGGCAGGCAGAGTACAGGCTCAGCCAAGATCTGTTAGATGTGCATGTGTTTATGGCTGAGGAGGCATTTACAGATGTGTATGTATTTACTTAGATACACACATACAGATAAATTGTCTACATCTGCCTGATTAGTTTCCTAGGGGAAAAAAAACCCAAACAAATAAAAACCAAAAAACCTAGTTAAGAAATAACAAAATCTGAGAATGTATTAGAGGAGAAACTTAACAGTATGAATGAAAATCAGGGTGTATATCAGAAGGTTTGACTACATAGTAAGTGTTCTACAATATTTAAAATATTAAAATGAGAAATTTTTTTAAAACCCCTTTCTGGAAAAGGAAAGAAATAATTAAAAGTAGATAGCAATCACAAATATGTCAATAAAAATTGCCAAATTAAGCCAAAAAAACTTCAAGCCTAGAAAAAAATAGATACAATAGAAGGAAATCTAAAGTATAAGCAAAAGAAGGTAAAACAGCTTCTAAGACTCGGTACTAGACTGATAGGAGAGTGCTAATGGTGCTAAGAAGGGTTCAACAGTTAGCTACAGTATTTGGTAAGGAGCAAAAGGATATTTTTATATCTGATCAGGGTATTGGATATTTTGCCAGACCATAATGACAATGTAAGTATTAAACCACATTAATGAGTAATAAATATTCTAAAAGGAAGGCAGAGAGAACTTTCAGCCAATAATCCTAGAATAGTTATCTGAGGAGTTTTCTGTCTTGCTGTTAATTATTGTTAATAATTCTGAGCATAAAATGGAAGTTGTCCAGTGCTGAATTAAAATGTCATGGTTGATATCAATTATAAAATGTAAGAGATGAAGTTTAGTCAATAAAAGTATATCGATGCTCACTAACATGGTTTTAGAAACAGGACTTGGCAAGCTGAACTCAGGTTGTACTCTGATGAATTTACAAATATAATTGGGTTTTGTAACTGTGCTGATGTAATACACTTCTGTAGGGTATTTAATTTTGTCTTTCATGGCCTTCAGACTAAAATAAATTAACATTGTATAATATGAATAAGATACATAAGAAATAAGAAATGTGTATGACAGATCTTGCAAAGTAACATCAAAAACATACATACCTAACCTGAGGTAATATTTTTATGAATAATCTGGAAACAAATATAAAACCAACAAGTGACTGTATTTGCAGGCACCAAAAGCGCAGATGAAGTCATAAATCATAATGTCAGTGGACATCACACAGTGCGATCTGGATTTCAGGATAAATTGGACCCATTCAAAGAAAGTGAATCCTAAAAAATTGAGTGCAATCTCATATATCTAGGGGCAAAACCCATGTACTCTACCTCTGGAAGTGTAACTAGTGGCTGAACACAGCCTAGCAGCAGGGTAGAGAAGCAGCATGTACTTCCCCAGTGGCACTGCTATCAGTGAAGGCAGATGACTTCTGATAGGCATAACGACAGCGAAAGTTGCAAATGAGGGTATTTATTGCATTAGATTTACTGCTCTCAGTGCAGAACAAGTGAAGGAACTACTGCTTAGTGCAACTCACCTAAAAAGTT